GGCATGATAGGTTGTGGTAGAGTGATCTGGAGTTTTTCTTGACCTGTTGGTTATGATCTCAGTCTCATGAATGCTCCACCTCTTTCACTATTTCAGTTGATGAATCACTCATCTGTTAGTTTTTCTCCCAGCATCAACAAAATGAAGTAGTGGATTAAAGAAACAAATGAAAGACAAAAAAAATATCTAAGATCTAACAAGAACTTTAGCCTTGCTGGGAATACTTAGGTGCTAATGTAAACTTTCCTCCAAGGAAGAACAGGGATCAGGTTTATAGTTGATGTATTCTGTGTTCAAAGCAACTCAGAAAATTGCACACCTAAAGCTACTGAAAGGATATTTAAAAAGCTGACCAGCAAAAAAAAAAAAAAGTTGACCAGCACATGATTAGAACTACCATTCCAAAAGAGTAATGATGAAACTCACCCCCAAACTTTGGTAAAAGCTGTTCTGTGAAAACTTTCCTTTCTTTACAGGTCTACATTTTTGCTCAGTGTACCAGAGAGATTGTTCTGTTTTTATCAAACCAAGCTTTATTCAATAGTGCTCTGTACCGGAGAGATTATAATCTATGGAAAAAAAAAACCAAAACAAAGTCATTATGCAGTTAAAGGGAAGAGCATAAAACTCCTTTGGCCATCAAAAAATCTGAACAGAAACAACTAGCAAGGTTGTATTTTCCCAGAATATTTTTTTTTATTGATCATGTAAGGATTCATCAAGCATTTCTTCATAGAAAAGCTGATGAATCTAGATTTACGAGTGAATGTTTGTGCTGGGAACATATGAAATCAGCAATCCAGGAGACTCAGCAGGAAGAAGAAGAAGGAAGACTCAAGGAAAAAATCTCTCCAGTGAATGAGGACGCAACTTAGTGTAAATCAAGAGTTGGCTCTTATCCTTCACCCTGGTGCTTCCTGCTGAATTTTGGAAATTAGCCAGTGTTGTAATTAGCCACCCCGCCTCCCAGCCTTTGTTAAGTGAGAGTCAAATCCCCATCTTTTCCAATGGTGAGGTCACTACGAATAACCTAAAGCTCTTCCTTCCTGCCGGATGGTTTGAGGAAGTATACTCCTGGGCAGCAATTAGGGTTCCGATTCCTCTATTCTGCTCTCTAAGTGAAGGCTGCAGACCAGCCCCCAGGGTGGCTTCTACTAAGTGACTGGGAGGGGTGGTCATGGCACCGCCCCATGTGGCCCACTGGCACTGTCTTCTTGGTCCTCCCAGAGACTTCACTTCTCCCACTTACAGACCCTTAGCAGTCCACCAAAATTCTGTCTCTAAATCCAACTCTGTCCTCTGTGATTAGTAATGTCCACAACATGGAAATGCTGTTTTACTATTAAATCAAAATCTGTAATTTTTTTTTACATTGAAGAGTAGTTGATTTATGATGTATTAATTTCTGCTGCACAGTGAAGGGATTCAATTATACATATATGTATGCATTCTTTTTTTATATCCTTTCCCATTATGGTTTATCACAAGATATTGAGTATAGGTCCCTGTGCTATCCAGTAGGGCTTTGGTGTTTAGCCATTCTCTATGTGTTGGGAGAAATATCAATAACCTCAGATATGCAGATAACACCACCCTTATGGCAGAAAGTGAAGAACTAAAGAGCCTCTTGATGAAAGTGAAAGAGGAGGGTGAACAAGTTGGCTTAAATCTCAACATTCAGAAAACTAAGATCATGGCATACGGTCCCATCACTTCATGGCAGATAGATGGGGAAACAGTGGAAACAGTGGCTGACTTTATTTTTCTGGGCTCCAAAGTCACTGCAGATGGTGACTGCAGCCATGAAAGTAAAAGACACTTACTCCTTGGAAGGAAAGTTATGNTCATAATTTAGATTCCACACATAAGGGATATCATATGGTATTTGTCTTTCTCTGATCTACTTCACTTAGTATGACAGTCTCTAGGTCCATCTATGTTGCTGCAGATGGCATTATTTCATTCTTTTTTTAAATGACTAATACACCATTGTATATAAAATATGTACATTTCTTGGACTTTCCAAAATGAATACAAATGTGCTCCTTTTGTCAGAAAATCCCATTGTTTTGCATTACCAATACATTTTTCACTTAAAAAAGTATTTTCCACATCTGCCCATTTCACCACTGACCAGCACTCTCTTGCCTTTCCTTCAGGTCTGTGGGAACTTTGCTTCCTCCTGGATCCTTTGGCTGGTTTAGTCCCCTCTGTCATAAACCCTCACTCATGACACTGTTCATTTCTCACGCTCATCACGCATGTAACACTGGTGTTTGCTTTCCCTTCCTGGATTGCAGGCTGCGTGGGCTGCAGGGCATGCCCATGTCCTTTGCCATCACACCCTCCATATATAGCATGATAATTTGGTGTCTGTTGGGCTCTTATGGAAAATAGCTAAGTGAACAACTTCAGACTCACTTAATTAATGACTACCTTTAGCACTTCTACGTTATAACCAAAAGTTGCTATGCCCTCAAACTTTCTAGGAATGCCGTGAGACTAATACTTGTCATTGTTGTTCAGTTCACAATTGTTTTATCCACTATTTGAGTTCTCACAGTCATACTGTGAGGTTAGTAGGGTAGGCATTGCAGTGCTTTGTGTTTTAACTTTTTGTTTTTTACTGGAGTAGAGTTGATTAACAATGTTGTGTTAGTGTCAGCTGTACCACAAAGTGATTCACTTATCCATGTATCCTTTTTCAAATTCTTTACCCAATTAGGTTGTTCCATGATATTAAGCAGAGTTCCCTGTGCTATACAGTAGGTCCTTGTTGGTTATCCATTCACATCAGTCAGAATGGCTGTCATCAAAAAATCCAGAAGCAATAGATGCTGGAGAGGGTGTGGAGAGAAGGGAACCCTCCTACACCCTCGGTGAGAATGTAAATTGGTGCAGCTACTAAGGAAAAAGGGCTTCCAGGTAGCTCAGTTGGTAAAGAATCCCCCTGCAATTCAGGAGATCCCGGTTCGATTCCTGGGTCGGGAAGAGCCCCTGGAGAAGGGATAGGCTACCCACTCCAGTATTCTTGGGCTTCCCTGGTGGCTCAGATGGTAAAGAATCCTCCTGCAGTGTGGGAGGCCTGGATTTGATCCCTGGATTGGGAAGATCCCCTGGAGAAGGGAAAGGCTGCCCACTCCGGTATTCTCATCTGGAGAATTGCATGGATTGTACAGTCCATGGGGTCACAAAGAGTCAGACACGACTGAGTGACTTTCACTCACCCACTTGACTAAGGAAAAAACAGTATGGAGTTTCCTTAAGAAACTAAAAATAGTGCTGCCTTTATGTAAGGCACGAAGAAACCTCGGGCAGTGTTCCTCCTCTGTAAACAGTGAACAGAGACTCACTTCCAGAGCCTGTGCTGCTCCGTGTCACCACACAGCCGAATGGTTAGAAAGGCCTTCAACCAGGGTTTTCCCGTTTACTTCCAGAAACTTGGTTTTTACCCATTTAATTCAATTCATGTACAGTTGGGTCATTTTTTCTCTTTCCTCCCAATCAGTTCTACCAAGCCACTGGCACTAAGAGTTCAAACCATCTAAAATTTGGAGACCATCTAAAATTCCACTCTGCTCAATGCAGCTTCCCCTCCTCCCCCATATATGTTACCAATGTCATTTTCCGACCCTCCACTGATGCATGACACCATGCCTCCACAAAGGGCCCTCAGCACAGCCTTTGTTGTGAGTTCACACCAGTTTTCCACCACAAAGTGAGCTGGGAGACCATCTACTGTTAGAGGGCCCTGCAGGAATATCAGCAAAAAGGTTTATCTTTACTGAATGACCACTGGAAGGCTCTTGCTGGTGACCGGCATACATGCTGCCTTTGCAATCATGCCACTTGTCTGTGTCACATTACCCCGAGTAGACCCAGGTGTTACTTAAATACAATGTCTCATTGTTACTTTCTGATTTCATTTCAATGAACAAGTCTGGGGTGTGCTGCTGAGGACTGCGGTGGTTTAGGGGTGAAAGTGAAAGTCACTCAGTTGTGTTCAACTCTTTGCGACCCCGTGGAATATAGCCCGCCAGGTTCCTCTATCCATGGAATTATCCAGGCAAGAATACTGGAGTGGGTAGCCATTCCCTTCTCCAGGGGCTCTTCCTAACCTAGGGATCAACCCCGGGTGAGTCACCTGCACTGCAGGTGGATTCTTTACCATCTGAGCCACCAGGTACTTGAGCTATTATTGAATCCTTAAGAAATTGCTGTGATGATCATTTGCTGCTTTACCTGAGTTTGGCTTGGTTAGGACTGACAAACAACTCCAGTCCCTCTTGTCTGCTGAAGATTCTTCGGGTGCCCTCCTCACCCTCCATGATGATCTTTTATGATCTGTAGCTTCGATGTCCTTTAAATATAGTAGGATCCCATGGAACACAGGACTCATGTACAGAGTTCATCTCTTTCCTGTTGCTTCACATCCGTATGATGCATCATATCTGCAGAACGCCTTGTGCTTTGTTTCTGTAGCTTCTATTGCCTTTTAAATTAAAGGACTTGGATTGGTCTATAATTCGCTAGCAGTTACAGTATAAATTACACTAGATAAAACTGTTTTTTAACCGCCATTGACATGCCGATTACTTTTAATGTGTCGTACATATTTATACACTAGAACTTACAGAATTAAATGAAGCCTGTTCCCTCCCAGGGTTTCATTCTAATATATATTAATGAAGGATAATCAAATAAAATGATTTGGCTCCTGAACTGATTGGTTATGAAAAGCTGAGTGTGAAGGGAGTCAACTTAAACTACTTCTACACTACCTCTTAAAGGTCATTATTACCTCTCCTGGACAGTCAAGAAATAAATCAGGGGCTTTATCAATGTGACGTGGCCATCACTTTAGTATTAATCTTCCTTCTCTTCCACTCTGGGGAACTACAGTGAACCAAATCACAGGCATATTTTTATTCCATGTGCATATTTAGTGGGAAAAGAACACTTCTCTGATCATGAACCTCGCATGTCTCTTGCTTTCGCAGTAATAAACGACTGGTGGCCTTAGTGCCCATGCCCAGTGACCCTCCATTTAACACCCGAAGAGCCTACACGAGTGAGGATGAGGCCTGGAAGTCGTATTTGGAGAACCCCCTGACGGCGGCCACCAAGGCAATGATGAGCATCAACGGCGACGAGGACAGCGCGGCCGCGCTGGGCCTTCTGTATGACTACTACAAGGTAGGCAGCGCGGCCCCGCCCCCTCCGCCCTCGCCCCTGGCCGCCCCTCTCTGTGGGCAGAGAGCACACGCGCCTGGTCCCTGGCCAGAGAACTGAGGGATTCCCACACTCACCGTGGAACTCAGCCTCTTCTTGTCTCAGTGCTTCCCTGCTTTCCCGTCTGTGAAGCCCAACTTCACCCCTGCCCAGAGGGAGTTTTCCTTTTCGGATACTTGCTTCTGTGCCCCCTGTTTACAAGCGTACATAGTATCTACGTTTAATGCCTGCAAGGCCGGAGACCTGGGTTTGATTCCTGGGTGGGGAAGATCCACTGGAGAAGGGATAGGCTACCCACTCCAGTGTTCTTGGGCTGCCCTTGTGGCTCAACTGGTAAAGAATCCTCCTGCAATGCAGGAGACATGGGTTCGATCCCTGGGTTGGGAAGATCCCCTGCAGAAGGGAACGGCTACCCACTTAAGTGTTCTGACTTGGAGAATTCCATGAACTGTATAGTCCATGGGTTGCAAAGAGTCGGACACAACTGAGGGACTTTCACTTTCACATTTAATTCCTACTTCATATCATATTGCAGTACTTCTTTGCTGCCATTTTTACTTGATGATTTTTGGTGAATAAGGAATATTGCATTGTGTGGCTGTACTGTAATTTAGTCATTGCTGTTTTGGGGCATTGAAGTTGCTTTTATTTCTTATTTTATTTTATTATTATTTTAAAATTAAGTAACGTGGGTCTTCCCTGGCGATCAGTGGTTAAGACTCTGTGCTTCCATTGCAGGGGGCATGGGTTCCATGCCTGGTTGGGGAACTAAGATCCCACATGCTGCATGGTGCAGCCAAAAATAAATAAATTAATATAATGAAATCAATAAATGAAATAATGAGACCCTTTATATTTTTATTTATTTATTTTTTGGCCAAACCCTGTGATGTGCAGGATCTTGGTTCCCCAACCAGGGACTGAAGCCAGTCCCATGGCAGTGAAAGCAGCAGTAAAAGTGCCAAGTCCTAACTGCTGGAGTGCCAGGTGACTCCCTAGTTTGCTTTTAGATATTCTATTTTATAAGAAACATCAGGATTTCTAGATTTTTCACTTTAGTAAGAAATATACCAATGAATGCTTTTATGGTAGACTTTTGCAGCAGTTCCAAAATCTGTCTCCCTTTGTTTCACTGGGCACTCAGTATTTATTTTGAAAAACCCTTGAAACAAAATGAATGTAATTCACTTGCATTACAAAAATACTTGTCACAGGTAGCTTCAAAACAGGAGTATTTCAGGAAAGCAAACAACAAACATTGGTCTGTCTCTTCTGTAAAGGACTGTATCTGGTATGACCTGCTTCCTTAGAACCAGTAAAGTGTAAAAAGTCAACAAGTATTTACTGATTGAGGATATTTATTGCCTGATTTGATTGGGGCTTATGCTGGGATTGGCACAAAGGTGAAAATGGCTGTGTTTATTTTGCTGGTTGGGCGCAACTCTTTAGAATAAGAACTAAATCCTCCTCTTGCCGGCTCCCTCCGCCATGAGAAAATCACACAAGAGGAGTTTTTGTTTGAGTCGAGTGTCAGTCTCGGTTTCCTACTTCCTTCCTGCCTCCCAGTTCCTGTTTCCTTCCAGCAGTCTTCACCAGTGCAAGCTGTGCTGTCTCTTGTGTCTCTCCTAAACCAGAGTTTTCATGCTTTCCAAGGATCTCCCACCAACACCAACACCAGTACCAACTCTGGCACTGACCGACCACCCCCAAGCCTACTCTTTGACCCACCTTCTCTAAAATTATTCATTGCTTTTTCAGCTTCCTCTAACTTTCTCTATTAAAACGCTAAGGAGGGCTCCCTCTGTGGGGAGAGAAAGTAAAGCCAAGCCCAGTTGCACTTGTTAGTCTCTCAGTGGTGTCTGACTCTATGCGACCTTATGGACTGTAACCTGCCAGGCTCTGCTATTCATGGAATTTTCCAGGTAAGAATACTAGAATGGGTTGCCATTCCCTTCTCCAGGGGATCTTCCCGACCCAGGGATCAAATCCGGGTGGGTCTCCTACACTGCAGGCAGATTTTTTTACCATCTGAGACACCAGGGAAGCCCCAAGTTGTGCTTATCAAAGATGAGATATTGGGTTGGCCAGAAAGTTGGTTCGAGTTTTTCCATAAGCTGATACGAACAAACATTTTGGCCAGCCTGATACAAGGTATTATGAGTAACTGATAGGTTGGCCCATCCAGGCTATTTTAAATGAGGATGTTATTGACTCAAATAAATGTATCTTATGGCTAGAAAGTGCTGGAGAAATAATGGAAAGGCATTCCATTTGTACCCTTGCAGTCTAGGTTGACTTTTCCCCCTTACTAAGAGAACTGGAATTGGCAGATTTCACAGCTCTCTTGTGAAGGTATACAATTCCCAACATGACTCCTGACCTAGCAAAAAGGGGCTTTAACTTTGGGACCTGGGGTCCACATGAAAGGATGTAGGGTCTAATCTCCATTTCATGCAAGTAGGACAGTTTCCTACAATGAACAGAAAGCACCTGAAAAGAACTGAGCCTGGAAAACAAAGATGGTTTCTCGGCAGGCTTTCTTTTCTTCTTTTGTTTGTGGTTGTTTTATATATTTTAATCCTTTTTGACTGAGAAGCTAAGTTGAAAAACACAAGGATGATTTCTAAACGTTTTGGGGTGAACATTTTCACCCCAAATGTATTGAGGATGGTATAGAACTTATCATGTTAGACTGTTTCATGTTCTAGGCTATTTCTTGAGGGTTTAGATTTATTAGACTTTTGTGTTAATACTTAATGTTTGGAAATGATCTCGATCTAATCCCTTGAAAGAAATCGCAAAGCAATTTTTATTTATTATAAAGAATAGTTAAGCTTGACACTCATTAATCTTTAAAATCTGGTAACATATCATTAAAGTGACTATGATTTAATCACTTGGGTCATTAAAACTTTTTGGTAAGCTTTATAATTTCATTAAGCAAATATGTTAGTAATAGTTTTATAAGATTATGAAGAAATACATTAAGACAATTTTGAAGAAACATTGTTCTTATTTTTTAAAAACAGATTTTGTTCCATTACTGTGAAATGGACATAATTTCAGGTATCTTTATTAGATGACAGTTCTTTCATATTAATGAAAAAGAGAAATATACCTTGAAACAAAACTCGTTAGTAATCTAGAAAAGAATTTAATTTCCCATAGGTTCAAAGGATAAAGTATTAGTAAATATGGTACCTAGATTACCTCTCCTTTTGTACGTTATTAATAGTTGAAATTCTGCTTTCATAAATATTTTAAGATACAGAGTAGGGAGTTTACATAAAACTCAGTTTGAGGATATGGAGAAAATGGAACCCTCCTACGCTGTTGGTGGGAATGTAAATTGTTTCAACAACTGGAAAACAGAGGTGTCTCAAAAAACTAAGAATAGAACTACTACATGACCCTGCAATTCCACTCTCAGATATATATTAGAAAAAACCCAAAACACTAATTCACAAAGATATGTGTACCTCACTGTTCATAGCAACATTATTGACAATTGCTAAGATATAGAAGCAACCTAAGTTTCCATCAATGGGTGGATAAAGATGTGGTGTGTATGTGTGTGTGTATTCCACATACAGTGGAATACTAGTCAGTCATAAAAAATGAAAACTTGCCATTTGTAACAACATGGATGGACTCAGAGGATATTATATTTAGTGAAATGTCAAAGAAAGACAAATGCTATATAATGTAACTTACATGTGAAATATAAAAAATAAAAACACACCAGTGAATATAACAAAAAAGCAACATACTCAGATATAGAGAACAATTGGTAGTTACCAGTGGGGAGATGGAAGAGAGGAGGGGCAAGTTTGGGGTGGGGATTAAAAGTTACAAACTACTATGTATAAAATAAATAAGCTACAAAGATAAATTGTACAACACAGGGAATATCACCAATATTTTATAATAACTAAATGTGATATAATCTTTAGAAACTGGAAATTACTATTTTGTACACCTGAAACTTATATAACATTGTACATCAACCAGACCTCAAATAAATAAGTAAATAGTCATCACTACTTGCTCCCACCCCCCCCCAAAAAAAAACCCCTCAATCTATAAACAAGTCTAAACTCCTACTGTTGAATTTGTATTTTCCAAGATTAATTTATTAATTTAGGATATAAAATATTCCAATAAAATGTTTTCTAAGACTGTGTGGACTAGCACAGTTACATAGATCATTTATTTCCCACAAGCTTCACTATATTTTTGCTTGAAATTTTAAACCTTAAAGAATTAGCCTTGTTTTTAAAAACTCTGTGTGCAAATGATCATTTTCAGGCCTCACTCAGCCCTCTCTTATTTACAGTTTGTGTATGCTGGTAGTAAAGTTATAACAAAGTTAAATCTATTTTGAGAATGGACTTTCTTTCTGTAGTTAAGTAAAATGTTAATGGAAAAAAAATCAGAAATTCTATTTTTTTGAATATAAACTTAGGGAAGTCAGATTACTGTAGCAATTGCTACCGCAGTATCATTTAAATTCTGTAGACTTTTTATACCTCTTTGGAAATAATCGATTCTTTTTGTGAAACATACCATTTTCCCCTCACTGCTGAGGTTGCAGTACATTACCTCTCTGGACAGTAGAGAGAGGAATGTGTGTGACACGCAGCAGACACTCAAAAGCAACGGCAGTCCCTGTCCTTGGAAACTGCACGAGTGTACCTTCGCGTAATACTTCATCCACTACAGTCTTTCCACCTGTATTTTAAACCTGTCCCCACAGGATCACTGGAGTGAATCCAATCAGGTCTTTTATTTTCAGCTCAGGCAACTAAATGGAATTTACAGAGGTCCCAGGGCAATCCTGTACATGCCCAATATCTATGTCATGAGGCTGTCTCAGTTAGTTTTCTTGGGCTGTTGTGACAGATTATCACAGACTGGGGGCCTTAAACAACAGAGATTTACTTTCTTACAGTTCCGGAGACTGAAGTCTAAGACCAAGGTGCTGACAGCGTTGGTTTCTGTCAAGGCCTCGCTTCCTTCCCATCTTGCAGATGGCTCCCTTCTTGCTGTGGCCTCACGTGGCATTTCCTCTGTGCTCACACGCTCCTGGCATCTCTTCCTCTTCCTAGAAGAGTGTCAGTCCTCTAGGATTAGGGCCCCACCTTTAGAAACTCATTTAACCTTAGGTGCTCAGTCGCTCAGTTGTGTCCAACTAAGTAGCCCCGTGGACTGTAGCCCCCCAGGCTCCTCTGTCCATGGGATTTCCCAGGCAAGAATACTGGAGTGGTTTGTCATTTCCTGCCCCAGGGGATCTTCCTGACACAGGGATCAAACCCACGTCTCTTGTGCCCCCCGCATTGGCAGGTGGGTTCTTTACCAGTAGTGCCACCTGGGAAGCCCCATTTAATCTTAACCATCTCCTTTTAAAGGCCCTGTCTCCAAGTATAGTCACATTGGAGATTAGGGTTTTAACATACAAACATTGGAGGCATACAATTCAGTCCATAACACTCAACCCTGTTTAAAAAATGCTTTAATGGAACCCATTTGAAAATAGGCTTAAAACTTTAAGATATGTATTTGGAGTTTAGATGAAATCTATAAAATTAACCAAAATGCTAGAATTTGTTGTAATTTAAAGACTCAGATACTAGCCTAGTTCTATTCGGTTCAAGCTATTCGCCAACAGCTCTGAAATCAATTGTGACCTTTTGATTAATTTCAGCCATGACAGAAAAATATGACAGATTTCATTTGTTAATTTTATGTGGTTTGATTTACTTTAGCTTACTTTACTTTTCCCCTGAAGAAGTTGGTGATTCGTAATCGTCTGATTCTAGCTCTGGTGAAAATATTCTTCCCTGGCCAGTTGGTTCCTCTCTATTCTGTTGACCTGGTGCTGCTGGAAACCAAGATGTTTGTTTGTTTGTCTAACCATTTGGTCATACATTTATTCATCCATCCATCCAACAAATGCTAATTCACCATGACCTTCCAGCAATGGTGTAGATATTAGGGGGGTGGGTTGAATATCCAAGGCAGATGGGACCCACTTTAAGACCTTAGTGAGGTCACAGTCCAGGATGTCTGTAACAGTCCCATAAACCTATAACCACAGTGCATGGCAGTAAATATTATGAAAGTGCTGTGCCCCAGGTGCAGTGAGGAAGGTGTGCCAGCCTTCCAGAGAGCTCCAGGTTTTCCAGAATCGTGCTCAGTCGCTCAGTCATGTCCGACTCTTTGAGACCCCATGGACTGCAGCTGGTGGTGCTAGCGGTAAAGCCTGCCAATGCAGGAGACATAAGAGATGGGAAGCAGTGCCTATTCTACGGAGAAGCAGAGGAGAGTTTTTCAGGTAGGCATACGGAGAAGGAGCATTTTAGGCAAAGCAAACAGGATATGAGAAAACGTGGGAGGTCAAACTCCAGGATGCATTCAGTGAAATCCAAGGAATCAGCCTTGCTGAACTGTGGGAGTGAGCGAGGGGGAGGGCAGGCAAGGTTGGTTAGGAAGGCAGCGACTCCTTCTGGAAGCGACCAGGCTGGTGGGCTGGGCTTTATTCCCCCAAGAGAGAGTGCAGGGCTAGGCACATGGCCTTGTTTTTTGCTAGATGAATGAGTGAATAAATGATTTAATAAATATTCATAAGCTGTAGAAATTTTTGGAAGAAATCTTTCTATTTTTAATTTAAAAATAAAGCCTTTTGTTTTCTGTTTATATACATTAAAGAAAATGGATAGAAGCTTAAAGAAAATGAAATTTCCTGTAATTTCTCTATTATTCTTTGACATCATTTTCTCTATTACTGAAGGATTTTGAACATTGGCCTGCTAGATTGGAGAAATGATTTACACATGTGGCAGCAACAGCAGCAGCAGGGAGATGGATTATGAGCAGAGAATCCAGTGAACAGGTTGTTGCGATTGTCCAGACAAAAAAGAATGAAACCCTAAAGTAAGATCTAATGGTAACTGTTCCCTGGGTCAGCATTTGTGAGGCTCTTCCTAAATCAGCCACTCTATTTAGTCAGTCATGCAACGCAGAAACAAAGCAGTATGTTCAAGAGATCGTTGAGTATTTGTTGGAATAAAAGTTGGCAACTGATTCTGTTTGTGTGTGTGTGTCTGTGTGTGTGTGTGTGAGAGAGAGAGATTTGATGAGAGAACCCTATAACTAGGATCACAATAGCCAGTTGATTCTCAGATTAACCAAGGCGGAGTACAGAAGAAGGGCTTTGCGGAAAAGGATAATTGTATGTTGAGCTTGAAGTGCTTACTGTAGGATGTTTAGGTAGGGATGTATGGTGGTGAGTCTAGACTCCAAGAAGGGGCCTGAGTTCAGAGATCTCAGCTTCTCTAAGAAGGACAGTCTTTGGGAAGCCAAAAGTAAGCAGCATGGTTCTGGGTGGCCCAGATGGGAGCAAATCTGCAGGCACGGTGGGGTCAGACTGAAAGACCACTCTGGTTCTTCTTAATGGAGCCAGAATGGATTTGCGGGGACTAAGTGCAGGAGAGGAGAGACCAGCTAAGCTGATGCAGTAGCCCAGGCAAAAGAGGTGGGGGGCTGAGCCGGGGGGCTGAGCCAGGGGGCAGGCCTGCACAGGGAAGAGGATGGATCTGAGTCACATGGGATTTAGTGTGATGTCTTTAAGACTCATTCATATTACAGCACGTATCAGAATTTCATCTTTAAGACTGAATAATATTTCATTATGTGTGTGTATATATATATATATATAATACATTTTGTTAGTCGTTCATCTGTTAGATGGACATTTGAGTCATTTCCAGCTTTTGGCTATTGTGAATAATGCTGCTATGAACATGGATGTGCTTGGTATTAAAATTTTGTGATTATCTGTCATCTTCAGGAGATGATAGGAGTTTTGTTTTATTCATTTCATTTTCTTGTTTAACATGTAATAATGCTGCTACTCTGTAGACCCTCAACATTGACATCTGCATGAAGGGCTTAAAACTGATTTACTTTATTTTTATTTAACAAATACTTATAAATTTCCACACTAAGTGCTTTTAAAAAATTGTCTCTTCTAATTTTACTAAACACCCTGTGAGGTATAGAACTACCATGATTCCTTTTTTTACAGCTGAGGAAACTGAGGCAGAGTTAGTTCGTGGTAGAGCTGAGATTTGAACCCAAACGATCAGGTCGAGGTCTGGACTCAGCCACCCTGCTGTGTCGCCTCCCTCGCCCAGCTGGCTGGGCTTGCAGACACATTTGGGTGAGTGGAAGCCATCCATGAGGATTGCAGGAGGAGTTCAGAAAAGAGAGACTTCTCATAAACCCTCTTTTATGTCAAAATAGTGCAGGATGCGTTTTCAGTGCAAAGGTGTGTGGCTGGAAGGAAGATCTGGAGATTTAGGGAAAAAACAAAATTGAAAAACAAAAAAATCCAAAACATGCAACCAGCCAAACAAATCTAAACCCACTATTCATGTATTTGAGAACTGCGGTAGAGATAGATAAGCGATCCTTAGTGCTGTCGGGTGATTAGATGATGGTCAGAAACAGCTGGAAGGGGTGTCCCTTCTCTCAAGTAGCGCTTTTTCAATAATCTTTCAGGTAATGTGTTGGCATTGTAGTTGTGAAGTCCATAATAAAAGTGCGTTAGAAGAAGAAGGGTGGGAGGCAAGCGGTGAGCTATGTAGGGAGGGTGGGTAAAGGTGGCCCAGGTATTAGATGTTGCCTTGCCACTGAACAGTGCAGCCCACTATCGTGGGCTCTACATGTCAGCCTGGAGTCCCTCATCACAATGGAGGGTCAGTCTCTGTTCCTTAATGGGATGCTTTCTATGTGCTCCGGAGCATAGATTCCCCTCATCTATGTAGGGGAGGGTTCATCTAGGTAGGGAGGGTTCAAGAGGTGCTCAGGTACAGCGATAACTGCCTACGTTGGCAGAGCACAGCAAAATCACGATTGCTGTGACTTTACATCGATCATCACCGTTTTGTGTCTGGTCCACTGTCATTGCCACTCAGACTTCTCACCTTTAACCATCTCCTGGCCATTGCAAATCTGCCACCTTTCTCCAGAGAATGCTCACTTCATTTTCTTTGCTTATGCTGGTGGCAAGCTCTGCACAAGGTCACAGTTGCATCTATGTAAGTCTGACTAATGGTTGGTCATGATTTCAGGTTCCTCGAGACAAGAGGCTACTGTCTGTAAGCAAGGCAAGCGAGAGCCAAGAAGACCAGGATAAGAGGTATGATAATATATACAGGAATATGCCTGACTCTCCAGATAACTCCTTTTTAATGTTTTTGACAATGATCGTATTAAACTATAACTTTTGTTCTTGAGAGAATGTGGGAGTCAAGACGCCTGACGTCTGCTCCCTGTCTTTTGGAGCCTGGACCAAAACTGGATTTCTCAGTTGGGAGAGCAAATTGCAGTTTTTGGTTTTGCAATTTGCCAAGGGTCATCAGTGTCTTCCAAAGAGGTTGCAAATCCCAAGAGACAGAGGTGATATACTGGCAAGATAGCCCACTGCTAGTGTGAACTTTTCTGTTAATTCAGTGGCTGTGTAACTGCGATGAGACTCTTAAGGGAGTGAGACATTTGAAGATGACCTTTGGTAAGGGGGAGAGGAAGGAGGCCAGGCTGATCTCAGTCCAGGGAGGAGCTGGTAGGGAGCCATGGGTGGCAGAGGATACTGTCAGGGTGCAGGGGCAGGAAAGATGTTAGGAGACCATAGGTAACACTCTTTTCCTTCAATCTTGAATTAAGGACCAGTTGAAAAACAAGACAGATTGAAATTAAAAAGGAAAAAAATCAATTTTATTTCTAATGAAGCGTAATTAGAGAATGTGGTTTTGAACGGGCAATTTATAACGTATCAGTACTGACTTAGATATGGCATCTCATCCAGTCCCAGGCAGGACTTCAGGCCTCCCTGAAGGGACAGACCACATATGGCCTGGCCAAGGTGACTGGAGTGTCTGTCCCCTTTCTTTGGCCAAGATGATCCAGATATAAAGAAGGACCCATAAAGGTCTGAACCACCTTGTTCAACTACTTCTCCCAAAGTAGCTCCCGAACACAACCAATCAAATATATCTCTTCCCCTGCAGAGGAATGGAGAAGCCACAGTGCTTTTCTGTTGAAAGGGTTTTCCACTTGGAAACATGAAGCCAAGAGAAATGAAGTCTCCTACTAAAACAGATGTCAGAATCTTTCCTGCCCTTGATAGGAACAGCTTGTGACCTTGTGATCTTGTCATACGACTAGCAGTGGGGACCGCCGGTCAGCAGTATTATGCTGTGTGTCACCTCCAGGGCACACCCCCAGCAGAAGGTCAAGGCTGTCTGTGTGTGATTTGCTCTTCCAGGGGCATCTTCTGGGACTCTATGCTGCTCTGGGGACCTGGGCACTAGTTAGCAGCAGTGATGACAGGGAGAAAGAGGCTGATGCTCTTCAGGTCCAATAACTTTTCCTCCATCCAGTCCGTATTTAATAAGTTAAAGAAGTTTAAGTCCTACACCGGTAATCACAGAAAGATTAGGAACACATGCAGGGGGTGGAGATGGGGAGAGAAATGAATCTAAAATGTGTGCTCTGTATGTATCATAATAGATACAATAGGCCATGTTTTGGTAAAGTATCTTTTAGAGCAGCCTTAAAGACTGACAGCTGCCCACTGTATTTTAAAGGCCGTTTTTATATCTACGGAGTGCCTTAAAAAAACTGGCAGTGAGGTATAGACAAATCACCTTGTATAGGCTAATTATGACTTTGTAGACTTCTGGTTAAATGTAATTTGGAAGGATATCATTTGGTCTGCAGTGTACTCATGAATTAAGGTGCCACGGGCTGGCATGATATCATTACAAATGTTTGTATACAGAAGTCACCACTTTGAAAAGTAATCTCAAGGACATGACTCCAGTTTTTTTTTTAAGAGTATACTTTCATGCACCATTCCTAGCATTGCATTTTTTCCTCATGTTATAATGTTTGGTTCAGTTTTAAATTCTATTGCAAGGGAGTCAGTATCTCACAATAGCTCTTAACTTTGTTCAGATCACCCGTTTTGGGGGATGACTTTCAAAGTTCTCCGGCATCAGCTTTTAAAGTCAGTGCTATTCTGCAGAGGCACTGTTACACATTACAGGACAGTGCTGAGTCTGTTATTTCCTTGTCTCGTGGTAATGAAGATTCAACTATATTTGCACGACTGTATTCACTTGCTTATCTATTTGTTTATAAGAATGCCCAAAATATTTTGACCTGTGTTTCTTGTTTAGAATCCAAGTGTTTTACATGAAATACAGACTTAAGAAATTTGGACTGAAATGGACTCTGACTGTAGAAGAATTGATTAATTTAGAATATTTTGGCCAAGCCAGTAAGACCATGCTTGTGCAAAACCCAGAAATGTGAAAAAAGTAGATAATTGCTTTGGTAGCTATTGAACATAGACCAACCCTTCTACACTCAACTTGCAGGATATTATCCAAAAGGTACTGCCTAAAATGAGTTTGGGAGATTCTGGGTTACAATGAAACATTTGGAGGAACCCCTGGGGGCCTTTACTGTGTTCATGGCTGTGACCCACCAGGGTGGTCTTGTTTTGGCAATAGCATCTTTTTTTAAAATATTGATTTTATCATGAACTCCTTTCTTTGAGGAACATGTATTAACATGCCATGTGATGTTCTTAACAACAAGGTTTAGGAAATACTGATATAAATGGGTGGTCTGGGTTTTGGCATCATCTGCTCACTGGATTCAGATTAAACGTAATATCTAATTTTCACTGTGCCTTAGACGCAGATTCGTTGTATTGATTTGGCCATGAAAGCAGGTTATTACTGAGAGCCAGAATATTTATAGACTCGTGATTTTATTCTTTAAAGGATTCCTTTCTAGAGTGGTTTCTTGAGGACTGTGACTGACTCAGAGAGGTTCAGGTATTTTTCTGTTGGCTTTGCTCATGAGGAGCCATTTTCTCCCCAAGCTTCACTTTGAAGTTTTATCTGAAAAATCAAAGCTAAAAATACCAAGCCCTGTTTGAGAGTTAGGCAAGTTCAGAGGCCAGTTGACTTCCTTTACAGAGAGGAGCCAGGAGAGCTCAATTCTTGGAAGAACCAATTTTGTTCAAATATTTCTCCTGATGAAAGATGCCTATAAACCCCAGAAAGCACCTGCTGGTTTAAAAAAGACAAAACACTGGGGACAGAGCTGCACACAAAACATGCATTTTCTTTCTGTCATTCAGGGTAATCTATAAATAAGTAAGAGATGGCCACAAATCTTACTGATAAGATTTGTTAGAAAAATCATTTTGCTATAACAGTGCTCGTTTAGTAAGAAGTTCCTCTTTCCTTCTGCTCTCACTCAAAATCCTGCAGTATAGATGCAAACAGTTCATCCTATCCTGGTAAGAATTAATTTTCTAAATCCTTTCCTTTCTCTTTGTACCAGTCAGGAGGTATGAGATCTGACAGCTCTTGTCTTACATAAGCGCAGTTATACCACTTCCTTAAGTCCTGATAGTAATTCAGTGCTAAGGATATCAATGAGCTCATGCTTTTTCTTAGTTTAGTAAAAATATTTTAATGACAGGCTCTCATTATCTTATTTTTATCTGCAAAGGGTTTAGCCTGCATAACAGTGAAAACTATTCTTCCCAATCTTCTCCTTCAACCTATTGTTCTGCCCCTATTTTTTTAATTGCTGTGAATTTTTTAAAATTTATTTTGAATTGAAAGATAATTGCTTTACCAGTATTTATCAGTACCACAAAACCAGTATTGTATTGGTTTCTACCAAATCCCTGTGTTTTTAAAAAAGACTATTTAAATTTTTTTCTTTTAAAAGCTTTCAAACATATTCATAAGTAAAGATGGTGGTATAATGAACCCCCAAAGACCCATTCCATCCTCCAGATTCAGTACTTGATAATTTTTTCTTACACCTATTTATTCTTCACCATTTCTTTCTTTCCCTCTTTCTTTTTTTAAAAAAAATTAATTGCAGTAGTATTTAAAGTAAGTTCTTGGCTTACTTTATGTCATTTCACCTGTAACATGACATATTTAGAGTACCATATCCATTTGATATGGATCTCTAAATAAACAAGGACTTTTTATTCCATAACCTCAAAATCATTATCACATCTAAGTGAATGAATAATACTTTCTTAACATCAGTTAACTTTCAGTTCATATTTGATCGCCTCAAAAATCCCATTGCCTCATAAATACCTCTTTGGCTTTTTAGATTGGGATCCAAACAAGATCTGCTCGTCCTATTTGGTTGTCATGCCTTTTAAATCTCTTAACCTAGAACAAGTCTCCCACCTTTCTTTCTTTTTTCATGCCTCTGACTTATTGAGGAAACCAGGTCAGTAAGATGTGTGATATTCTGGTTTGTATGATTGTTTCTTTTCAGTGTTGTTTAAATTATTCTTCCAGCTCCCATATATCCTAAGAACTGGAAGCTAGATATAAAGCTTGGTTTGATTTAGAGTCAACATTTGTTTTTTGTTGAGCATTTTCTAGGTGGGACTGATTGCATGCTACCAGAAGGTACATGGGGTGGTTGTCCTACTTCTAGTGATGGAAAGATCCATTGCATTCCATTGTAAAGTTCACCGTCAATTTTTTCCCCCTAATGCATTAGCATCCACTGATTCTTGCTTGCATCAGTTTTAGGAGTTGCAGAATGATGATTTTTCTAATTCTATCCTGTTGCTGGGGGGTGGGTTTCAATACGCAGAAACTGTCTTGGCACAAGTGAAGCCCAGAGTAATTTGAGTGGAGGAGAAAATCGAGTGCAGGTCCTGAAGACTGTTCCAGTGAACCTTTCCCTAAATCAAGACCACCTGGAGAATTCCAAGCGGGAGCAGTACAGCACGAACGTCCCCGAGAGCCCAGCCATCATCCCCGTGTCAGGAATCACAGTGGTGAAGGCTGAAGATTTCACACCAGTTTTCATGACCCCAACGGTGCACTATCCCCGGGGAGAAGGGGAGGAGCAACGCGTGGTTATCTTTGAACAGAGTCAGTACGGCGTGCCGTCCATGGCTGGCCACAGCACCTACCTCAAGGACGACCAGCGGAGCACCCCGGACAGCACTTACAGTGAGGGCTTCAAAGACGGAAACACGGAGGTGAGTCTCCAGCTCTTACTTCAGGAGCCCAAGCCGAAACCCAGAACCCACACCTAAATTTTCTACTCTATTTGCTTAAAAAAAAATTTATTTATTTATTTATTTATTTATTTATTTTTGACTGCACTGGGTCTTCATTGCTGCATGCTGGCTTTCTCTAGTTGTGGTGAGTGGGGGCTCCTCTCTAGATGTGGTGCATTGGCTTCTCATTGCAGTGGCTTCTCTTCTTGCAGAGCATGGGCTTTAGGGGACCCCGGCTTCAGTAGTCACAGCAAATGGGTTCTACAGCACAGGCTCAATAGTTGTGGCCCACGGGCTTAGCTGCTGCATGGTGCATGGGATCTTCCTGGACTGGGGATAGAACTCCTGTCTCCAGCATTGGCAGGTGGATTCTTTACCACTGAGTCCCCCAGAGAAGCCCTTTATTTGCTTTTTATGTGGGATGAGTGAATTCAACTGTGAGTTCAGGTTTTTCTTTTTTCTTTTTTTTAAACATGTTTGCTTCTTTCTTTATAAACAGATTTTATTAAAACATTGGTTTGGTTGTGTGGGGGAGTATTCCCATTTTCCTGACTCTGGGATGACAGATTCCTCTATTGGCTGTAGTGTTAGTCTTTTTTTTTTTTCCATTTATTTTTATTAGTTGGAGGCTAATTACTTTACAACATTGCAGTGGTTTTTGTCATACATTGAAATGAATTAGCCATGGATTTACATGTATTCCCCATCCCGGTCCCCCCTCCCACCTCCCTCTCCACCCGATCCCTCTGGGTCTTCCCAGTGCACCAGGCCCGAGCACTTGTCTCATGCACCCAACCTGGGCTGGTGATCTGTTTCACCCTAGATAATATACATGTTTCAATGCTGTTCTCTTGAAACATCCCACCCTCGCCTTCTCCCAGAGTCCACAAGTCTGTTCTATACATCTGAGTCTCTTTTTCTGTTTTGCATATAGGGTTATCGTTACCATCTTTCTAAATTCCATATATATGTGTTAGTATACTGTAATGGTCTTTATCTTTCTGGCTTACTTCGCTCTGTATAATGGACTCCAGTTTCATCCATCTCATTAGAACTGATTCAAATGAATTCTTTTTAATGGCTGAGTAATATTTTATGGCGTATATGTACCACAGCTTCCTCATCCATTCGTCTGCTGATGGGCATCTAGGTTGCTTAAAATCAAATATTTGTGAAGAACAAAGAGCTGTCTGTGTGGAAGTTTCCTACTTTATAAAGTTTTCACCTTGACTTCTAGTTTGCAACCTTCCGAATGGCAGCCAAAGGTGTTGCCTGCTCATCATTTTTTAAGAACAAAGCAACTCTTCTTTAAAAACTTATTTATTTTTAATTGAAGGATAATTGCTTTACAATATTGTGTTGGTTCCTGCCACACAGCAGCATGAATCTGCCATCAGTATACATATGTTCCTTCCCTCTTGAACCTCCCTCCCACCCAACTAGGTCATCACAGAGCACCAGGTTTGAGCTGGTTCCCATTGGTTATTTTACATCTGGTAGTGTATATGTTTCCATGCTGCTCTCCATTCGCCCCACCTTCTCCTTCCCCCACTGTGTCCACAAGTCTTCTCTATGTCTGCACCTCCATTCCTGCCCTGCAAATAGGCTCATCAGTACCATCTTTCTAGATTCCATATATATGTGTTAATATACATATTTTTTTTCTCTTTCTGACTTACTTCACTCTGTATAATAGGCTCTAGGTTTATCTACCACATTAAAACTGACTCAAATGTGTTCTTTTTATGGCTGTGTAACTTTCCATCGTATATATGTACCACAGCTTCTTTATCCATTCATCTGCTGATGGTCATCCACAGGTTGCTTCCATGTCTTAGCTGTTGGAAATAGTGCTGCAGTGAACACTGCGGTACATGTGTCTTTCTCCATTATGGTTTCCTCAGTGTATGTGCCCAGTAGTGGGATTGTTGGGTAGTTTTATTCCTAGTTTATTAAGGAATCTCCATATGCTTCAACCATATGCTCCTCCATAGTAGTTGTATCATTTGATATTCCCACCAACAGTGAAAGAGGGTTCCATTTTCTCCACACCCTCTCCAGCATTTATTGTTTATAGATTAAAACAATATAACTCTTTAAAGACCTTGTCTGATGAAAACTCAAGGAAGAATTGGTATTATCAGCAATAAAGCATGTGTATGTATGTGTACTTTGCACCTTACAGATAGATTCTATGTATTCTTCTCATGTGCGCAAAGAAGTTATCTTTGCTTGCTCGTTTGTATTAAATTCACATGTTTTAAGGGCACAGTTTGAAAATTGTGTTAATTGTATCCAATTGTGTAACCAGCATCAGATTCAACAGACAGCTTCCTCATCCTAAAAGTCTGAACTTGAAGCCCTCCCCTCCCCCTTGGTCATGGCAAACACTCACCTGCCTTCGGTCACTATAGTTTCGCTTTCTCTAAAATTTCATATAAATGGAATGATAGCGTATGCAATCTTGATTGTTGTTTTCTTTCATTTAGTATAGTACTTTTGAGTTTCATCCATGTTATTGGTTGTATTAATAATTTGTTTCTTAAATTGCTGAGTAGTATTCCATGGTAAGCATATATCACAATTTATTCACCAGTTGGTGGATATTTGTTGCTTCTAGTTTTTGGCTATTATAAATAATGCTGCTATGGACATTCAAGTTTTAATGTGGATGTGTGTTTTCATTTCTCTTGGGTACATAACTATGGCTGGACTTGGTGGGTCATCTGGTAAATGTATGTGTAGCTTTATATGGGTCATGTGGTAAATGTATGTGAAACACTGTTGTACAGTGTTTCAAGGTAGCTGTAATATTTTCATTCTTATCAGCATTGCATGAGGATGCCCCTTTTCCACATCCTTGCCCAAGTTTGATACCACCAATCTTTTTAGCTTTACTTTAGTGTATATGTGATGTTGTCTCATTATGGTTTAAACCTGCATTTCTCTGATGTCTAGTGATGTTGAATATTATTCTGTGTGTTTATTTGACCACTCCTATAACTCCTTTTGTGAAATGTCTGTTTCAAATAATTCGCCCAATTTTTAAATTGGGCTATTGGGCTTTATTTAGCTATATTTAACAGCAACAATATTTAATATTGATAAAGTCCAATTGATCAACATTTTTCTCTTAGAGTTTATGCTTTTGATGTATTGTTTAAGAAATCTTGGCCTAACCTAATGTTACAAATATTTTGTTTTGTTTTTTTCCCCTAAACATTTAATAGTTTTTACCTCTTGCATGTGGGTTTATGATCTACTATGAGATAATTTTCATATGGGATACTAGAGAAGTGTTGTCCCATTTTTTTCTATGTTGACATCCAGTGTTCCAGAACCACTTGTTGAAAGCAGTATTCTCTTCATTCAATTGCCTTGAGATCTTTGTAGAACATCAATTGCTAATATAATTGTGAATCACCACTCCAATTTTTGACTTGGCATGTGTCATGCTTTTTTTCTTTTTTTAGTTTGTGTCAGCTTCTTCCACATTTCAGAGCAGTGACTCTGCATTTGAGTCAGTGGTCACTAACATCTCATTCTGCAGTGCACTTGGGCCAGTTAAAGACAATGGCAGAAGGAGAAAACTTGTGGTTTTTTCTTTCTTAAAGAGGAGTGTGGTGGCAGCATACCAAATCCTTGCAGCCTACTGCCCATTTAGTTGCCAATAGGACAAACTTCAGCCACGTGAGGCTGAAATGGTAGCCTTGAATAATAATATCTTAAAATAATAAGCATTTGATGAGTACTTACTTTGCTGGGCATCATTCTATGTAATATGGATTCATTTAATCCTCCCAAAACTCCCATGAGGTAGATACTATTATTGTCATCTCTATTTTCCAAATGAGATGCATAAGGGCAGCTGTGAACATACCACAGTAAGTGGCAGAGATGGGACTTGCCACCAGCTGTTGGTCTCCAGGGACAACATCCTTGACCATTACCTCTATATTCAGAGACAACGCGGGGCCTTCTGGTTCTCAGGAACATAGTGCCTTACCCAGATGTGTCTGTTTTTTAATGTGAGTGTTCTGCATGTCATTAGCTGTTTCTCATCTTTCGTGTGACAATAAGCGGGACAAAAGGGACCAGCTCCCTTCAGCGTTGGTAGGGGCTCACAGTAGACAAGTCGCACTGGCAGCCCTTCCTTTCCTGACTCGTCATTCCTGAATGCCTGCTCTTTTCTCTGAACTTGAGGAAAGAGCAGAGCGAGACAGGATAAATTCGCTGTGCTCATTGGGGTTCCATATTGTGGGGGTTCTGGTAGCTTTACATCAAGCGTTCAATATCCTTGCAGTGACAATGTTATCTTCAGGTTTGTTTCTTTAGCTTCCTTTGTGGCTTAAAATCGTCAACAAGCTTCTTCTTCTTCTCCCCGCTCCTTTTTTTCCCTGTTATTCCTGAAGTGGACAGGGGCTACTTCCTGGTTGTAGTGCATGGGCTTCTCATTGAAAAGCATCTTCTCTTGCTGCGGAACACAGGCTATATGCGCACAGGCTTCAGCAGTGCAGCACGCAGGCTTAGAAGTTGTAGTGCGTGGGCTTAGTTGCTCCGAGGTTTGTGGGATCTTTCCAGACCAAGGATTGAACCTGTGTCCCCTGCATTGGCAGGTGGATTCTTAACCACTGGACCACCAGGGAAGTCCCCCTGCTCCTTCCTCTTCTCTTTTTTTTCAAACTGAGCAAGGGATCTTGTAGGGTTTTGGTATTATTGAATGTTTGATTTGCCCTCAAGCAGTCAGGCGTGCTTCTGTAGGGAAAAGCAAATCACTCCACAAAGGAATGTGAGGTGCATACTTTTTCACTAAAGGGTTGCTACTAACGTTTTTCTCACACAGTGCAGAAATATCCCATTAGTCACAGAAGAGTCCATGGATGTGGTCCAATGTCAACGGAACTGTCACCCTATTTGGGGGATGTGTTATCAGTTGTGCTTGTGTTGTAGATAAAGAGGCTTATGAAAGGAAGCTGTTG